ATGGGAAGGTTGGGCAAATTACGGGAGGTGGGATCGACGGGTAAATTGCGACGGTGTCCTTGCTTCTTTCTTTTTCTTCGCTTCGCTCCTTCCCCTTCGGCGGTGATGGGATAGGCCTGGGATGGACGGTTGAGTGGTGCGTCGCCGCAGGCGCGATTAATAATGGTTGACATAACTTCTTTTTGTTGTTGGGTTTTCGGCGCGATGATCACCCAGGAGTTTTGCTTCTTTCTTTTTAAATTTCTTTTCAAATATTGTCGAGCCCTCGACGGCTCTCAGAATTTCGGATCTTCTTTTCGAAATTTGTGCTTTATTGAAGTTTTTTTTGCATTTTCGAATTATATAGGAATATAGGAATTTAGGAATTTAGGAATTCGGACTCGGAATTTCTTTTGCCGCGCGATGCTCTTTACTTGCGCGCTTCTTTTTGCGGCTGCAACGGAGCTCTGATTAGTTGACGCCCTTAATCTTGTGTGCAATTGTAATTTTTTTGGGCGGGCGCCATTGTAACTGTATCTTTCTTCTTGAGCTTCGTCTTTCCCGCCCACTTTTCTTTCCTTCTGCTGTGACTAGTTAGCCAGCGGGCTGCACGATCGGATCGATGCGTGGAGAGTGGCTACGTCCCCCACGCCACGATCTGGCCATGCAGAACGTAGGCGCTTCCTTCCCTTCTCTCCTTCTAAGTCCTTGCAATTCCGTGTTCTTCGCGCATGCATGCACACTATAAATTTCGGCAGTGCGATCAGTTAGCTCTCTCAAAAAGTTGTTGGAAGTTCGGGGTAGCGCGATCAGTGAGGGTCAGCTCACGAGCGAAGTAAGAGGTGAGTTGACGTGGAAGTTGGGCGACCCGACGGACTGGTGCCGAATGTGCAGGGTTGACGCGTAGGTTACGACGGACAGTGGCGCGTGGGCGAACCTGACTGGCACAGGAGGACTAAGCGGGTGACAACTTCGTGGGTTGGTGCGTGACGACGGACTGTCCACATCGGGAAGAGAGAGAGAGAGAGGGAGAGCGAAAATGGACGGATATGGGGTTATAATTTTCTTTGTCTTTTTAAGTCTTGTATATAAGTTTTGATTTCAGCTTCAGGCGAACCGCCCTTATTTTTCCTTCGACATCTTTGTCTCGGCTATGGCCCTTGTCTGGCGTTTTACTCGGTCTCGATCTTTCCTCCTTTCCTCTGATGTATTTGATTGGATGGATTCTATGTATGCGGGATGGTTGAGTGATATGCTCGTCATCCTTTTTGCTTGACAACTGCTCATCGTCACTTGGTCTGTTCCGACCGTGACGAATGGCTAATAAAAGAAGTTGATGCTGTTGCGGTGTCTGACGTATGCGTAAACAATGATGTGATCTCACCTTGCATGATCAAGAACTGAAATGTTTGTTGTCTGCGGGATTACTGAACGATTGAATTGCTGAGTGATCGTCTCCGCCACATGGCAATTTTGCATATGGGACTTGGACCTCACTTTTGCACGAGAGTCGGGCAACGGACATGCGTACGATCGAACTCCTCGTATGCGCACGTGTAAGCGTGATCCAATAAACACAGCCTACAAGTGTCCACACGTGGTCAGTCCGCGATCACTGGATGGATTTGACACTTTCAGTATCGGGATGGGTACAAAAATTCCCCTTTGCGAGAACTTGAGCCAGTGGGGATTTCTGCGACCGTACCCGGAATTCCCTTGTCAGTCGGAGAACGACCGGGTGTGTGCAGAGGACTTTTACTGCGCCACTACTAACGATCCACGAGGTCCTCACTACCCGGAGGCCTGTCACACGCACTATTTCATCTCCCCCGGCTTTGTTGACATCTCCACTAACTTCCCTCCCTTCTGACTCCTTCTCCCGTATCATCAGCTTACAGTAATACCATGGGATTCCATCGCCCCGTACTGGCCCGCACGTCGCACAGAAACTCCCGACAACGTTGTGGCCACCGAACCTCCGAAATTACCGCGCGCAACCGCAACGCACAACACCAGCTGCCACGCGTTCACACAAGGAAGCCCAACTCGCAGAGATCGCAATCCCCACGAACGGACCTCTCATAGAGCCTTGAGCCATCGTAATAGAAACGAGTGGATCGGACGGCCCAAGATGTACTACGCATGCCATCTGCCTTATGTCGCACGACATCTGCAGCCTTCGGCCCGGGAATAAGCTGTCCCTTAGCCTCACAGACGAACCTGTCCCTTATTGCACCTATGCCCCTGAACCTTGCCACAGGAGATCTCAGTTCCGACCTGGGACTCCACCCCAATTTCCCAAATGACCTTGGCACACCCCTTTTCGCACTTCCAGGCCCACATCCCACTCCGATCAGGAAGTCGCGCCGGGCGTGAGGTTGGGCGTCACAGTCTTGTGTTAGCCTGGAAGTTTGGTCAGGTCACCGTAAGTCTTGTCGTTTTCCGAGTAAACTGGTTGTCCGCCGGTTGGTGCCATAGTGCATCACACCACTTCCAGAGTCCAGACCTATAATGCCATTGGGCAAGCAAGAAGGCAGTGTTCCAGGTCTGCTCATCTGCGTGGGGAGGCGGGCCCACAGTGCGAGCAGATGAAAGAGAATATTCCTTTCTGCTCCAGGTTGGATAGGGCAGTTACAAAGTCAGGAGTGGAAAGGCATCTACTATGGGCTTCGTTCCACACCACTCGAAATTCAACTATTTCCTGCCCAACACTGTTCCACGGTGCACTTGAGTTTTGCTATTCACGTTCCGGTCCTGATTATGATTCCGGGATTAACAAATGGGTGGGAAAAAGTCAAGTGTGGCTGAGCCGCACTTCAAAAGGGCGCAGGCAGGCGCCGCAAGGTGGTTGTAGGTGTGGTACAGTCCCCCCCCCTCATTTTTTTGCTTTTTTCCTTTTCTCGGCTGGAGGGTGTCTCAAGTGCGAACAGCATCCGCCACTTTCCCGCTCCTTTTCTTGAGTACGAGTCAAGGGTTATGTGGAACAGTGCGAGTATTCGTTGTGACGATTGCAGTATAGGGCGGCTCAAGCGCGGCACTTGAAACTCAAGTGAAGTGGTGTGGAACGAGGCCCTATGTACAATCTGCCACTGGAGGGCTTGGTGGGATGTTGGCTTGATGTGTGCATAGGCTGACAACGGGATATGTGTTAGGTGTGCAGGTGTAAGCGGGGAGTCCCGGTGCCAGCGGTTCAGTACAGTGGGAGTTGAGGGACAACGCTTGTGGGCCTGTTTTTACCCCATTTTGACCATGTATAGCCAGATGGGAATTGGTTTGTGCCGGGGCCACTCCCATTCCACCAGGTCAAAAGCCAAAGCACAGACCGGGCTGGGCATCTTGTAGGCAAAAGAGCCACCATCCTCGTTCCGTACCACTCTGATCCGTTCTTTTTTTTTTCATTTTTTTCTATTTTTTTGTTGTCAGCCCTTTCTCAGGATATTGGCAGTCCTGGTCCTGCCCTGGTTGGACTGGCCCATCTGTCGGGAGTGTGGGCATGCAGCCTGCCTGTCTCCGCACCATCGTCTGTACGGCGGCTGGAAACAGATGTTGGCCACAAAAAATCGCCGAGCGTGGTTGGAAAGAACTTGCCGCGTTTCGTTGGGACCCCACTGCCACCCTTGACTCTCGGCACTGGAAACGGCAGAGCATACCCGAATAGGAAATCTCCCCCGGGTGTTTCCTGAAAAGGCAAGTCGGGCAGGGGCTGTGGTCCATGGCCTTCTATCGCCCTGCACCAGGACATGTCCGTGTGCGGCCGTGGACGGCGGCAAAAACATGAGCATGTCCGCGACGGCCTCCCGGTCCAAAAGACGGTCCCCGACGAGGGTGTGTGGTCCACGCCGTCCAGCCGTCGTCTGGAAACGGATGGACATGGCCCCCGCCCTGCTCGTCTGGACGCCTCCTTGGAAATGGAATGGAAAGCAGTCGGCGTTGAATTTCCAGACCGCCGACCATGTAAAAATGCCCAGTCAGCAATTCCGCGACCTGCTTCCAAGCACGGTGGGGTCTGGAATTCCTTTCCAGGCCGACTTTCCACACCGGTTTCCAAGACTGGTGGGGTCTGGAAAACACTACAGAGCCCGAACTTTTCCAGGCCGCCGGGCAGTGGGGTCCAAGCCTATATATGGCTGTTCATCGCGATCGGGCCGGTCTCGTTTACAGTGACCAAGTCCTCTTTCGCCGCCGTCCAGGGGAGCAATCCAGTTGAGGGGGCCAGCGGTTTAGCCTACCGGACCACGATAACTGGCGGTGCCAGCCATATAGAAAAGAAGGTTTCGCCGCCGCTGGCGGTTCGGCAAAGCCTGGGGTGTTACTGGCGGTTATTTGTTTCCAAATATTTCAAATATGTTGTGCTTTCCCGCCTCCGCATAGTCGTCCACCAATTGTCAGCCCTCAAGATGATGGACTCAGCTCCTGTCCCCACGTTTTACGGGGGCCGGTATCCCGGAGGGAACCGGGAAGGTCGTTCCGTCCGGACCGGCGTCTCCAGCTTCCCGCGCACTGCAGGGCTGTCCCAACGCCCGATGGCGTGGTTCCGCTACGCGACAAATGTGCAAATCCTGAGGGTCTCTCTCCAAAGGACGCGGGTAGATACGTCGAATATTTTGAATATTTTGACAATTGCCGAGCGGCGGGGGTGGAAGGAGGCCGAGAGGCTTCGCTTCCCGCCAGAGGCTCTCCACGGCAGAACATCTGCTGGTCGGCGCCTGAGCGGCGCCTGGGCGCCGCCCATCCATTCAAGACTACAGGCAGCCGGCCTTTCTTTGAGTCTGGGCCTCGCTCTTCTACTCTCGACATGCACAAGAGACGAAGCATGGTGGTGTATCTTTCCATGTTCTAGCGGAAGCTTCTGTTTCTCCACGCCTCGTTTTGCACATTTCGAGAGTAGTACTGGAGCGAGTCCCTCTGTCGCACATAGTGCAACAGTCCCTGCCGCACACCACCCTCTCCTCCCCGACCCTTTGCTCGGTTTATGTCGGACAACCGTGTCCCACAACGACACTACAGTCGACAAGCAACAGCTGCGAGCGAACCCGAGGAAATTAACGGCGATGGTGTCAAGAACGTACGCTGATGAGGTAAGGTGGAAAAATGTTGACGTCATCACATCCGCCCCTCGTTCCCTTCCTTCCATGATCCTCTCTCTATACGATTCTCTATATCCTTCTTCCACCGAATACAACGTACGGTCATGATAACTGTACTTAGACTGAAAGATGCCCCAAATTCAGCTATAATGACCGTACGTTGTATTCGGGGGAAGACTGTAGTCAAAACAGAGCGAAAAAGAAACTGACCCTCTTTCCTTCCCTCCATGATCATCCTCCCCTCAGCAGTTCCGTTTCTTTTTCGCTCTGTTTTGACCACGTTCTTCCCCCGAATACAACGTACGGTATTATAGCTGAATTTGGGGTATCTTTCAGTCTAAATACAGTTTTAATGACCGTACGCTGTATTCGGGGGAAGAAGGGTAGGATTCGAACTGATGGTCTGTTTTACCATAGATGTGTCTATCACTCAGCAACCACATGGGGCTGCGCATATCTGTTTGCACAGGTTCATCCCTCTCTTTCTTCTGTCTTTCTCCCCGTTCCTCTCTCCTTTCTTCGTCTTCCTTTTCTTGACCTTTCTTCTTCTTCTTCTTCTTCCCTATAACCCTGCCTTGCGGCCCACCGTCAAACCTCCTATCCTTCTGAGTATAGAGGGCCGATACGGCCTTGTTCTACTTCTTCTTCGTGTACGAAAGGCAGTTGGCCACTGTTTCCACTATTCTTCTTCTTCTTGATTGGTTTCTGAAATCTTGAGACTCGCTCCAGCACACACCACTATAAGGGCTTACACTCGCTCTTTTCAAATGCATATGACCTCGATTACCGTTGGTCGTGTATGCATCTTACCGCAAAATCAACTCCAGATCCGAGTCGAAAAGCTTCGAAAAGTCGTGCTAGTGTGAGTATGAAGCCATACATGGATCTGGACCTCAAGAATGTTGGATAAGTCCAAATGTATCTGGTCCGCGCTTTTTGCCCCATCCATGCAGATTGCTCTGCAGTGGAACGAAGCCCCCTATCGCACATTTCACTCTCGTTTTCCCATTAGAAGAAAACACCCCTCTCTTTTTCTTTCGTCTTCTCTTGCTCCCGTCTGCCTTCTCTCTCTCTCTCTCTCTCTCTCTCTCTCTCTCTCTCTCTCTCTCTCTCTCTCTCTCTCTCTCTTTTGTAATGCCTTTTCTTGTACGCTTTGCGTGTTGGGGGTAGAACGCGGGTTCGAGGACAAGAACATGAAGGCTTGTAAATTTTAAGGCGTGGCACGTCTTTTAGTACAGGATCTTCCTGGATGTATGCTGCCATAAATAAGGCGAAATTCACCGGAAAAAGTCTAATTGTTTGAGTGAGTATAGAGGCTCTTACCCCCGGATGCGTACGCAAGAGCAATATGACCGTCGTTGCTTAGATCACTTAAAAGTTTTATCCTCATGCGTTCACTCATTGGCGACCTTTCGTTCTTCTCGTTGACTCCTTGACCTTCTTTTTCCTCGGATCGTTAGCGCTCTCTCGTCTTTTTTTTTTTTTTTTGAGTCATCCTTGAAAGCGCAGGGGCCATGCTAATCTTCTCTCTCTGTATCGTTCCAATTGTAACGGAAGTCCCAAAGGACGCTCTCTTGTCATTCTTGTTTGCTTTTCCGTTTCGTTTTTTTGTTGCCTGAAACTTCTTGCTTGCCTTCTTTCTCAGCAAACGATGCGTCATCCGTGGGCAAGAAGGTCCCTCTAACAAAAAGGATTGGATCTTGATCCCGAATGTGGACGTGTTTTGCACGGAGATGCGGAAAAGCAGATCTATTCACGAACACGTCCAGATTCAAGCGTTTGATCCAATCCTCTTTGCTAGTGGGACCTCGCCCCGGGACTTCCAGTTCTTGGCCGCTGAAAGTGCGTGCCCCGGTCTTCAACCGCCCCCAGCGGTGCTATCTAACCCCCGCCTAAACCATCCTCCTTTTTTTTTTTTTTTTTTTTTTTTTAATAAATTCATTTTATTTTATTTGTAAATTAAGCTACATTCTTCTCTCAATTTCACCTCTCCCTACGTTTTTCTTAATTAATTACTGTATTACTACACGGTCTACACCACCATCGTCAAGGCATTGCCGCCAATAAAAAAGGTTGAGCCTGCAAAATGTTCCCGTCCTCTCTAGCGGTTGACTGTTCACTGCTGATCGTTGACCGTTGACCGCTGACCGTTGACTGTTGACTGATTGCCGTTGCCTGTTGACCGTTGCCTGTTGACCGTTGCCTGTCGACCGTCGACTGTCGACCGTCGACTGTTGACCGTTGACAGTAGCAAGAGCTCTTTGATCTTCAGGCCAGTTGCCCTGGCATTATCTGGTCCTCCTTTTCTTGTCTTTTTCTGTTTTTTTTTTTTTTAATTTAATGGACCGATGGACCATGGATCAGATATTATTTGATCCGAACAGATACTACACTTGAGGCCTCCGCTTGACTACTCACCAAATGGGCAAAAAATGAGGATGAATCTTCCTCCAAAACACAGGAAAATACATCGGCATATTTTTTGTCTTTTGTGAATGTGGAGAGTAGTGGAGCGAGGCCCTTGATCTTAGCCAAAAGACCGAGAAAGGTATTCTTGTCTTGCCGATCTGGACCATTTCTCGATTTATGCGTGTCATCCTTGCCTGCAGGGCCATGCTAATCTTCATTCTCTCTATCGTTGCATTATTTTTTTTCCTTCATGAAAAACACAATTTAGTACGAAATAAAGTTCCTCTTTTCTTCTGCCCCCTGGCAGCGAGTTGGCATGATCCTTCTGCCACCTTGCATCACCGTTTTTTTTTTTTTTTTTTTTTTTTTTTTTTTTTTTTTTTTTTTTTTTTTTTGCAACATCATCGTACCGTTTTTTTTTTTTTTTTTTTAAGCAACATCACCGTGTTCCGATTTTCTTACAAGGAGACCTTCCCCTTTGCCTGTCTAGCCACCCCGCTTCCACCTCCATCCCCTCTCGCGGGAGGGGAAAAAAAGGAGCACCAGGGGCACAGGGGCGTCAAATCGGTCTCCTTTCCACCGAGCAGCCAAGATAGGCAAACACGAAAGTACACGGCAAATACATGGAATGTGTATATAATTGAGAATAGCGAACTCAGAGCATACTTACACTAGGACTTACGTAGTGATTTATGGTCGTAATTGCGGTCAGATGCATCCAGGTCCGGCCGTAAATGCGGTCCGATACATTTAAGATAGAGCTAGTATGAGTACGTCCTCACTCAGCTACTCCTGCTCGCGGCTACGCGAAGGGCGTTCGCCAAGTTTGGGCTTTCCCACCTGTATTTATGGCCCTCGCTGCATTACTCTCCAAATGTGCAAAATTAGAATGAATCTTCCGCTAGAACATGGAAAGATGCACCGCCAGCGAAATGGAATTTCTTGCTTTTCCCCCATCCCCCCCGCCAAAAAAAGGTAGTGCAGCGAGGCCCTATGTGACCGCAATCTGAACCAATTTCGGCCAAAAGAATCCTCCGGCGAATAAGGCCGAAAACCTCTGCTGTATCTTCTCTTCTTCCTCTTTTTTTTTTTTTTTTTTTTTTTTTYTGTTTTTWTTCGTCTCGACTTTTCAGCCAGTCACACAAGAGCATGTCTGTGGTCTTTTCCTGTCCAGTTACTTTTGACTTGTTGATTTTCCTCCCCTCCCTTTCTTCCTCTCTCCCTCTCCGTCGCTCCCAGTCTCCCTCTCTCCCTCCCTCCCTCTCCCTCTCTCCCTCTCTCCCTCTCTCCCTCTCCCCTTCTCTTACAGTGTTTTTCTCCATGCTTTTTACTGTCTTGCTCTCTTTCTTCTTCTTATATGTTCTTGTCCTCTCCTCTTCTTTCTCGCTACTTCGTTTTTTTCCGCATTTTTTTTCACCGTCTATGGTTGCAATCTCGGCGTTTTTTTTTTTTTTCCTGGCGGTTTTCTCATTTTCTGTGTACAAATACAAATGATTACACGTGCATTGCTATGCCGGATCACAAGGAAACGTAGGTCCGCGCGCACAAAAAAAAAAACAAGAGGGAAAATAAGAGAGGATCGTAACAGTCAGTGCACCAGTAGTAGAGAGAACGAAAGGGAAGCCTAAATATATGGAAATTATAACTTCAAGCCGTCCACAAAAATATTGAAAAATAATAATTTTATTCGTGTTTCGATGTCTTGATTATATAGCAATAAAATTTGGAAAGCAAGAATGTGTACGCCAGCGAAGATGGAGAGGAGGCAGCCTAAGGGAAATACACCTGGCCTGTCTTTCCAGCGAAGTAAAAAAGAAGACAAAAAAGAAATACAACTCGCTAAATTATCTGTATGTGACCGTTTTCTCAGCCTTCGCCCAGTCTCCAACTCGATCAGATTCATTGCGCGCCAATTCTGTCAGGGGGTTGTCAACAAGTTGCCCGGTGAGGTTCCACCAGCATCAGCGGCTCACTACAACTCTCGCCGAACTCGTTTCTCATCTGCCTCAAAGATTTCCAGCCGCCTGCTGCTACCCCATTGTACCAGGTTCTCAAGTAGCCTCAACCATGGCTTCTTGAGAACAGCAGGTGTTGCTCCCCACCAATAGATGGAGACTTCCCGAGCATGGTGTCTGCTCTTATCAGCACCTCTAGCATTCACTCGGATTGTTTTCAACACAAAAAAAAAAAAAAAAAAAAGAGAGAGAGAACGCTGCTGCCCTTAGCAAACGTGCTAGGGCATTGAAGAAGAACAACGCCGGGGGGTATCCCCGGCGTATGAGCTCGTTCTTCAAAGCTAGAACCGATAGGAATAGAGTAACTCCAATTTCGGCTCGCTTGTCTGAGGGCACGCTCACACTAGGACTTTTTTACGCATTTTTGGACGGAATTGCGGCCAGATACATTAAGGTATGGCCGTGAATGCGGTCATATGCGTTTGAGATACTGCTGGTGTGAGTACGCCCTGAGTAGGAATTGAAAATGATTTTGAAGATGGTATACTCTGAAACATACGATGGATAAGTTCCTGCTGCACTCTTCCCATTTGGCTCTCGAATTCGTTTCTGATCTTTGGCTCCATCTTCCTGTCTCTTTTGTCGCATTCCTCCATCCTTCCTCTCTCGGACTCAACAAACAATCTTCGAATCTTCTCATTGCGTCTCTCTTCTTCCAATTGCTGTCTTCTTCTCCTTTCGGCTTCTATCCTCCTCTTCTCCCCTTCTGCCTTCTTACTCTCCTCTTCCTGCATTTTGTAGTCTGCCCATCTGGCTACCCGCTTTAAGTTATCTTCTTTCTCCTTGCTAGATTGCCAATACTTCGTATTTTCAGCAAAGCCACCTTGTCCCTTGCCCGCGGGGCAGTCTCTCGCGATGAGGCCGGCTTGGCCGCAGTTAAAGCAGATGATCGGACTTACCTGTTCCGCCTGCTCCTGCAGCCCTGCTCCTGTAGTGCCTGATGACGCCATGCTGCTAACGTGTATACGGTAGAGGGTACGAGCTCTCTTCGTAAAGCCGTCTCTATCCGTCCTCTCTCTCCCCCGTGCGTCAACTCCGCTAATGCGCGCCACTGAAAATCCCAGATACACCTATATCTTGCTGTTGCCTTGTCTTGTTATAGCCACTCCGTTACTCTGAAGCCGCTACCAGTGTGAGTATCTCCTCTCATCCGGTTACCATGCTACACAGAATAGTGAAAACAGTGGCCAACTGCCAAAGCTCTTCAATACATAGCCGCGCATACTCGTCTCAGCTCACGCGCACATTCCCCGACGCGTTTCGATCGGTTGCGCTCCGATCCTCCTCAGGGGGCTAACCTCTTGACCCTGCCTTGCGGGCCGCCGACAATCCTCCCGTCTTACTGAGTATAGAGGACCAATACGGCCTTGTCCTCCTCCTATGTATACTGTCCATAGAGTTGTAAGCCTAGCCAGCACGGTAGGGGGTCGGCAAAAGGAAGAAGATGGCCTGCTTGATCGGCGGATAGGATGGGAGGAACAACTATTGTTGTTGACGTCACCGTTGAGTCGGAGAACAAGTTGACTGTCAGGTGAGAAGATACGGCAAGCGATCGATTGCCAGCCACGTGGAGATTGCGAAAACGGGCAGGTTGTGATCACACAACACGCTCAGGGCATGCTCACGCTAGGACTTTCCTGGATGTTTCTGGCCGCAAAATTAGGGCCCGTCTTGGAAGCATCTAACCGCAATTACGTCCAGAGACTACCAGGTCAAAAGATACGGGAAGTGATCGACTGCCACGTGGAGAATGTGAAAACCGGCAAGTAGTGATCAGTAACGCTCTGGGGCATACTCAAACTAGGACTTTGCTGGATGTATCTGGCCACAAAATTAGGGCCCGACGTGGACGTATCTGACCGCAATTACGTCCAGAGCTCAGTCGAAAAAGTCGTATTGTGAGTCTGCCTGCCCTTAGAGGAGAGAGAAGCTCATACACTCGCCCCGAAGACGTGCAGGATGCAGGCGGAAAAGGCCACGTGTCACCATGACAAATATTGTTGTTGACGTCACCGTCGGATCCGTAAACGAATTACTGCAATAATTGCCAGATGAGAAGACGCAGCAAAAGATCGATTGCCACGTGGCCATCGCGAGAGCAGGTAGGTTGTGATCACACACACACACACACAAGCCAAAGTCCAACGAAACGGTTTGCCACAGACTCACAGTCATGCTTTTTTTTCTGGCGAAGATGACAACAAGTATTAGTCAAATGCGTCTTGCGCAAAACCGCCCTCCTTTTTTTTTCCTTTTTTTTTTTTTAAAGTCCAGGTTCTTGTAGAGGCTAGGTTCCAGACGTACAGTGGTGGCAGTCATCAGTCAACCATTGGTTGTCCTGACAATTTTAATTTGTGAAATTGTGAGACCGCCTCCCTACCCATCCTCTCGTCAATTCTCCCAGCGTACCCCTGTTGCCACTATCTATCCTACCTCTCAAGTGTTAATCACTCAGGACTATCACGGTAGTATCACCCCGCCAGGTGACTTGACTGCCGTAGTCGGTGAAAGTCCCACGAAACAGTCTTTGCTTTTTTTTTTTGTGGAATTGCGTATTAGCGAACATGACGACACAGACACACTCAGATGTCAGCAAAGCCGATGAGTGGGTGAAACTCGGACGAAACAGTTTGTCACAGACCCTCGTTTGTTGTCCTCGTCTAGAACCTTGAGGGGAGTGGTTGGTGGTCCCCACCATCTCAGAGGGGTATCAGTTGTAGGGCAGTCGTTGATGCTTAACCACAACCGGGGGTTAAGGTGGATTATCACTTACATTCATCAGGTTAGGGGATTCTGCAGACTGTGGAGGGTTCAGCCTCCTGATGAGTCAGTCGGTGAAACTCCGACGAAACAGTTTGTCACAGCCCCCCTCGTTTGTTCTCCTCTTCTCCTTCTCCCTCCCTCTCTGCCCACGGTTTGGCGGGCAGTTCTGTTTGAAAATATACATACATGTGGTCGCAGTTATCCACCTCTTCCTCTTCTTGAATTTCCTCCAATCCCCTTCGACTCTCTATATGTGGCCGATCTTCTGGCCGTTTTAAATCGCCCATTCTCCGTGGGCAATATTCATGTGCCAGGTTTCAATACCTCGATCTAAGAATTTAGCTCGCACTTGGGACTTTTTTTTTTTTTTTTTTTTAATAACATTCATATTTGCCAGAAACCGGGTCCGGCTGCCCTTACATATATGCCGTGGCTATTTGGGCTGGGCGAGTTGTTGTGCACCTAAGAATTTAGCACGTTCTTGGAAATTGGAAGTAATTCTAGGGCTGTTTTGTTGACTTTTGCGAATTCCCTCGGCATTTTCGAGATTTGCAGTTTATAGCTCTAAGCTCATTGTTCTTTCGCCAATAGTGCGTCGAATTTTTTTATTTTTATTTTTTTTAAAGGCTAATTCTTTAAGCCCAACGAATTCAATTACCTGTCGAATCTGGACAGGACAGCCTTTCAGGCCTTTTTTATTGTCATTATAGTATTACGGGGAACCCCGTAGCAGCCACATCCGTGCTCAAGCGGAAACATGCCGGCGTCTCTCTGAGTATCAATGACATTGTACTGATATAGAATTGCCCTGCAATTTTTTCTTTTTGGAGATTTCCTCTAAGGGACACTGGATCCGGTTTCCAGGAGACCAAGCTGAGTAACGGCCTCAGCAGGTTTGTACCGGGTTGATATGTAGGGGTGTGTTCCCCGGCCCCGGTGGTCGTATTTGGAATGAAAAGTGTGATGTTTCTCGAAAAAAAAAAAAAAAAAAAAAAAAAAACATATATCCACATGGGCGGCCTTGTACACAAGAGGTTCTCAGACTGTACAGGGGAAGTTGGTAAGTAAGAAGATAAAAAATGAATTGATATCTATTTTGTTTTTTTTTTCGCTTTTGCGCTCTGATAAAATTGTGACGATATATACTGTATGTGCTAATCCACCTTAAACCCGGTTGTGGTTAAGCATCAACGACTGCCCGACAACTGATACCCCTCTGAGGTGGTGGGGACCACCAACCACTGCCCTCAAGGCACCCCGTAACGTACATGATGCGCCGGAAAAAGCAACATATTAAAAAAAAAAAAGAAAAAAAAAAGGCAACATATGTGTGGAGGTGGCGGCAGTTGGAAGAACTCCAAAGAAGGGCCACGTCTGTGGACGAGGGCAGAGACTGAGTGCGACAAGGTGAGAGCGCAATGATTCAGGAAAATCATAGTGCCAACAACCAACAAAAGAAAAAGGGGGGGAGGAAAATGAAAAAGGGGAGAAAAATGAAAAAGAAGAAGAAGAAATCGAGGACAACCTCACATCCTTCTTTTTTTTTGAAACCACTAAGCTAAATTCTTCGATCAGATTCACCTTTCATTACCTACCTATCACTACTCCTATGAGTCCTAAGGCTATACAGGGGACGGCTGCAAGCATAACTACCTTTCAATGAATGGATTGCATGTTGCCCCCTGGCCCTAACAGCAATGGGCAGGGAAAAAATAGGGTGGGCCCGGTGGGGAAATCGGCCACCGAAAATTTATATTTTTAATTTTTTTTCTTTATTAATGTATTTCCTGGAATTTATTTCATGTATTTCCTGGAATTTATTTCTCGAATGCGAGGCAACGTTGACTTGCCCCCTTGAACTGGACATTATTTGTGTGTTTGACTTTGGGACCTTTTGACTGTTGACCTGGGACTTGGCTGCAGAATTTTGAACTCGCCAACCCCACCCCCGAACTCGGCAGACCTTGAATTGGAGGCCATGTGTGTGCTCAACCCTAGAACTTGTCGAACGTGGAGCCTGGACTTGGCTGTAGAGATTTGAACCCGCGACCTTCGGCTGGCGACGAAGTCTGCAGACTCTGCACCCAACATGGGACATTGATTGCACGCCGACTTGGCGGCATCTTGGGCCGGCAGCGGTGGAGGCTGTTTGCGTGCTCGGGCTTGGAACTTATCGACAGTGGAGAGCGGACTTGGCTGCAGAGATTTGAACCCGTGACCTGTCGGGGAACTTGTCGAACGTGGAGCCTGGACTTTGGCTAGAGAGATTTGAACCCGCGACCTTCGGGGAGTCTTGAGAACGTGGAGAGTAGACTACTTGGCTGCAGCCTTGAGGGATTTCAACCTGCAACCTTCGGCGGGTGACGACGTCTGCGACCATCATGGGACATTGATTGTGCAGCACGGACTTGGCGGCATCCTGGGCCAGCGGTGGAGGTTGTTTGTGTGCTTGACCTCGGAGCTTCTTGAACGTGGATAGTGGAGTTGTGTGCAGAGATTTGAACCTGCGAGCTTCAGCTGGCGATGACGTCTGGGCCCAACATGGAACATTGATTGTGCACAGACAAGTGGCATCGTGGGCCAACGGTGTCTGTTTCAGCTGTTACTCATCCTCCTCCTCCTTCAAGAAGAAAGAAAGAAAGGAAGGGAAGAAACTCGACGAAAGAAAGAAGGAAACAAAGACCTCTTCGCGCAGGGAGGGAGGGATAACAATAACTTGAAGAAGAAAAAAAAAAAGAAAGCAAAAAGCTCCAAAAAAACCTATAAAAGAAAGAATTTGAAGAGAGAGTATGGCAGGTCTTACCGGTGAAGCTAAGCGCCACCTGGTTAAGAGTCTAATGAGAGCTAAGGAGCTTTCTGGAAAGACGTTCGACGAGATTGCTGAGGAGGCAGGTGTGACTAACGTGTATGCCGCACAACTGTTCTTCAATCAAGCGCAGCTACGTGGCAACACCGTGGAACGACTGGTTGGAGCGGTGCCCTATCTGATTGAGCGGGACCACACGCTGATCGAAGGCATGAAGAAACCACCATTCAGGTCCTACGACGAGACGGTCCTGCATGAACCATTCGTGTACAGGTTGTACGAGTTCGTGATGCATTACGGAGAGGCAATCAAAGCTGTAGTGGAGGAGAAGCTTGGCGATGGCGTTATGTCGACGGCAGACTTCTACTGCTCGGTGGATAAGATGAAGGGGAAAGACGGAGAGCCACGTGTCGTGATCACGCTCAACGGAAAGTTCATCCCACATGTGGAACATCTGTCAGCTGATGACGTGTCACAACGATGCACCTGCAGCTGCAAGCATTGCCAAAACGATGCCGTTCGATAAGATGGATGCCTCCATGTCCATGTCTTCCAGGCCGGCAAGACTGGGACCGCATAGGCCAAAAGTAGGGTCACAGATGAAGAAGGTACAGGAGAAGAAGATGAGGTGGAGGTGGAGGAGGAGAGGGAGGAGGAGGAGAAAGAGAACCTAGAGGCATATGAGAGGCCAAGGCAGGGATCGTGTAGAGAAAAATCAGGGCGGCAGGTGAAGAAGGTAGACGATAGGAGGAGGAGGAGGAGGGGGAGGAGGAGGAGGAGGAGAAAGGGACGAAAGAGGCAGGGGCAAGCGGGTGTTAGCGAAAGAGCCAGAGCTTTAGCACGAGGTCAATGATATGGAAAGCGAATGGGGCATGATGCAGAGGCAGGGTGGAGATATGGTGAAGTGGACAGTGATCGCTGCAGGGAGAGGGAGGGAGTGTGTGGGGGGGGGTCGGGGGTGAAGCTGGCGGAAAGGGGGTGTTAGAATCAGTAGGGGGAGACGGAGAGGAAGGTGTAGCACAGGCCGGCTATGTCATGCATGCCATTGCATGGCCCCAGCCTCAGGGGTGAACAGGGCGAACTGGGGACAGAGTTTGGCAGGGAACGGGCATTACGGGAGAGCACGGGCTAGGGAAGGCCTCACCCGAATAGAACGCCCGGTCATTAAAGCTGCAATTTCCAGAATCCAGATGCAGGGAATCCAGGGATATTGACCGGGTGTCCTATTCGGGTGAAGTAGGTAAGGAGGCTTTGGGAAGGGCGCACACATGTAGTCGAGAAGGGGAGGCCGGTAAGGAGAGGGGTGGGGGCAGCAAGCGGGGAAGCCGACTTACACCACCATCGCTGAAGCCATGAGAAGGCCTGGGAATGAGTGGCCGTAAAGCCAAGACCTCCCGTGTTTGGGAAGAGAGAGGAGGGGCAAGGGGAAACAGGGAGGGGAGAGGAGGGGAGAGGAGGGGAGGATCATCTGGGTCTTGGAATAGTTGCTATTGTCGTCCCCGCAACACAGTGCACCCTGATCGTGAATGTATACAAGGTATTTTTCTGGTCTAGTGCAGTCACAATGATGGTGCGTTGTGCTCAGGCCAAGAGGGTAGGGCAGGGGCAGTGAAGAAGGGCTTAGAAGACAGGGAGGATGTCAGGGCCGGAAGCTGGTCGAGGCTGGGGCCCAGGACCTGGACCATTCATGATGGACCCTTCGGGCAAGAGAAGGGCGAAGGAAAGGTTGACGGTCCTTCTTCACAGGGGCATTTTTTAAATTGTCTTTAAACCGCTAGTTCACCTGAAGTGTAGTATGTCTCTTACCAGTTGACAAGGTAAGACCACCTTTTTTTTTTTTTTTTTTCATAAAGGTAAGACGTTTTAGATTCAGGCCTGGGCCTAAGACCTTTTCCTTTTAGATTTCACGCCTGGGCCTAAGAAGCAAAAAAAAAAAAGGATTCAGGGCTGGGCCGGTAGCAAAAGTGGCGGGCCACTTTGAAAAGGTGCAGCGCTTTTAGTTTCACGCCTGAGCCACGACACTGTAGAAACGAAAAGAGCAAATGCATCTTTCACAGAAATTGCTAAGGTGCATCCATTGCTATTCATAGTAGTGGATGCATCTTGCCATTCTCTGAGGGTAGATGCACTAGTACGTTTTTCATTTCGACAGTGGTGTGGCGAGCCGGCCCCCTCAGGCCTGAGCCAGTAGCAAAAGACGCAGGCTACTTCGCAAAGGTGCAGTTGCAGGCTTGTGTGAATAGGCTCATCTAACACATATAGGTATTCCCAAGATGCTCCCACCACCTGGCGCCGCTGGCGGCCCGTATCTGTACCGCTTGTTGGTCCAAGTGCAGTTGCTAACCTAGCTGGTTGAAGCTGAAGTAGCTGGTTGAGAGTGGAGTACTAGAGCATACTCGCACTAGGACTTTCCTGGACGTATCTGACTGCAATTCCGGCCCATCCTGGATGTATGTTACTGCAATTACGTCCAGAAATCAGTCGTCCCAGTGGAAGTATGATGACACACTCCATTGTTCTTGTTGACCTTGTCGGTGGTTGTTGCGAGAAGTCAGAAGGGATGGGGGGAGGGAGGGGG